TTGACCAGGATGGTCTCGATCTCTTGACCTCGTGATCCACCCGCCTCGGCCTCCCAAAGTGCTGGGATTACAGGCGTGAGCCACCGCGCCCGGCCCACCTCTTTCTCTTAACTCACCCTTTCCTCATCTTTCAGGTCTCAGCTCAGACATCCCTTCCTCCATGAAGCCCTCTCTGATTCTCCCAGGTGGAGTCAGGCACCTCTTCTGGGTGGCCCCAGTCCCCTGGGATTTCCTGATCCCAGCCCAGACCACTCTAGGCTGTCCCTGTCTAGTGATGGGTCTGTCTCTTGTCAGGCTGCACTGGAGGCTCCAGGAGGGCAGGACCTATCTTGGGTATCACTCAGGGCAAAACCCAGCAAGTATCTGTTGAATAACCAAATGAATGGTGGAGAGGGAGTAGGGGAGGGCTGCGGACGAGTGTCCCAGGTAGGCAGTTCTCACATGGATGCGGCAGCCGTCATCTACAGGGTAGGAGCCTAGCAGTGCATCTTCTTGATCCAGCTTGCTGTAGAACTTGTCGTCAACTCCATACAGCTCCAATTCCATGCAGGAAGCAGGGCTGCCCACCAGCAACTCCAGTTTACACTGTAAGGAGGGGGCAGGGTGAGAAGGTGGCCAGGAGCCCCGCCCCTTGCATCAATCACCATCGCCACATCCCTGTTCCTCCGAAAGACCCCCCAGTCAGGACCCACTGGGCCCGGCTCCTCGCCTCTTGCCCCGCCCCTTGTCCCGCCCTCTGGACCACTGGATTTTTCGCTGGCCCCACCCCTCGTCTCTGCAATCTCGGGTTCTCTACGGACCCGCCTCGCCGCGACCCGGTCCCTAGCCTCCGTGCTTGGGATCACCTCCGGCCCCGCCCCGTCGCTCCCCGGCCCCTCCCCGCCACCTCTCCGGGGAGTCCCCCCCATTTCTTCGCCCCGCCCCTCCGGACCCGCCCCCACGGCCACACCTTGAACTCCGCGATTGTGAGGCTGCGGCTGTACCGCTTCTCGGAGCGGAAGGTATTGAGGGAGCTGCTGATGAAAACGGTCACCGTGGGCGCCGACACCCCCGTCACCTCCATCTTGCCGCGCCCTGCCTGGGCCCGCAGCGCGGTCCAGCCGCCTCACACCCGCTCCGCAGCCGCAGTCGCCGCCGCTGCTGGGATAGCAGCCCCGCCCCCTGCTCCGGGCCTGACCAATGCGCGCTCCCCTGCCAGGAGCGTCCGCCAATCGCCGCCTCCCTTCCCCACGGCCAGGAAGCGAGCTCTCCGTACTCCTGAGCCTGCCCCAGCGAATCCCGGGAGGCCTCCCAGAGTTCACGGTTTTTTCTGTAGCGGCCCGGAAACGGCCAGAACTGGGGCGAAGACTGTAGCCTGGAGGAAGAACGGGCAAGAGCTTCCTCCGTTAGCGCAGGGTAAACTCGCGCATGCGCACTGGCCTTTGGCCAAGCAAGCTCTGTGGCTTTTGCCCTGGGTGCTTAGCGTTATGCAGCTTACGATGCGCATCGTTTCCCCGGCTCTGTCGCCAGATCCATACTATTCTGTAAACTGGGGCGGCGATGTCCCAAAAATGGAAGGAATTACTCTAGGATATCAAAAGACTGAAGCAAGCAATGAAACCTTTGCGCGGAGAGAAGGGAGACACAGCACATGTGCTCAGGGCTGCCCTCTTTTGGCGAAGCACCTAGGCCTGGCCCCTCCGGCGACCTGTAGCGCGGCGGAGCAAGCGCAGAAGGTTAGGCGGGCTGCGCGTCGTCATGGAGCCCGACGGGACCTACGAGCCGGGCTTCGTGGGTATTCGCTTCTGCCAGGAATGGTGAGGCTGAGGGAGCGGGTGATGTGGAAAGAGGGTGAGGAATGGCTCCAGGACTGACCCCTTGGCACCTCGCCCTCCCCACAGTAACAACATGCTATACCCCAAGGAAGACAAGGAGAACCGCATTCTGCTCTACGCGGTGAGCGCCCGGGTCTTCCCCGGCTGGTCCACCTGTTCCCAGCATGGCCTCGCCCTGTCCCCTGCCTCTGTGACCCGACTCCCTCTTTGCCCCCTGCTGCACCCCAAGTTATCCCGACTCTCCTGTCCATCCCTAAAGACCCCGTCCCGTCGTCGTACCTTCCGGGATCACCCTGCCCTCCCCTTCCAGTCTCATCCGGAATCCCTCCGTGACCCCCTTTCCCCTACACTCGCCCTCTCGCAGTGCCGGAACTGTGATTACCAGCAGGAGGCCGACAACAGCTGCATCTATGTCAACAAGATCACGCACGAAGTGGAGTGAGTGGCGGTCCCGGAGCTGGGGGCGGGGGTGTTAGCTCTGTAGGCCGGGTCTGAGCGTAATTATACATCCCTGCGTCCCTGCAGCGAACTGACCCAGATTATTGCCGACGTGTCCCAGGACCCCACGTTGCCGCGGACCGAGGACCACCCGTGCCAGAAGTGAGCGCTCAGCTGGTGCTGGGGAGGGAAAGTGAGGCGAAGGGAGGAGGGAAGGGTGTCAAGCTCCCTATGACTGAGCTCCCACCCCCTCAGGTGTGGCCACAAGGAGGCTGTGTTCTTCCAGTCACACAGTGCCCGGGCCGAGGTAAGTGGCATGAGGACATTCTAAGTATCTGGGGCTTGCTTGGTCCTTCCCGGGGGTGGTGATACCAATATGGGTGTCCCTGCGTTTCTTAAATCCTGGGCCGGACCCTTACCTATTGGGGAAGTTCTCTTGCCTGTTCTTTTGGGGTGAGGCGCTGCTGGGTCCAGAACCTTGCTAACCATGCATCCTTTCTGTCAGGACGCCATGCGTCTGTACTACGTGTGCACGGCCCCACACTGCGGCCACCGCTGGACCGAGTGATCTCACCTCTCCCCCCGAGTGTAATTAACACCAGATTCCATGTGCGAGTTTCCTGTGTTTATTTGCCTCGTGGGGAGGGCACTGGCATGGGGTATCCGGCTGTGCGATGCAGGGCACGGTGCTGTGCATAGGCCTCCGGCCGGGAGCTGGTGAAACCGCAGTCCTCGCACACGTGCAGCTTCTCGCGGCGTTCACGGTAAGCGTAGCTAGCTGGCTGCCCATGCACCTTAGCAAGGTGAGCTTCCAGGGAGCAGCGCTGCGTAAACGCTTTCCCGCAAGCACTACAGCGGAAAGGCCGGATCCCTGCACAGATGGGCACAGAGGGGACGGCTGGACAGGAAGGGCAATGGGCTCTGGACTAAAGCACCCCCACGTGTTTTACAGCATTGAGCATTTCCAGTCCCATTCTAAGCTCTTCAGATTCTTCCACCCATGACCCACCATGTGCTGCCACCACCTAGTGCAGACATGGGCCAGACACCTGTTTCCCCACCCTCCTTCACCAGGATGTTCCCTCTCCTGGGGGACAGAGAGAGAGGCCTTCCCTTGCCCTCGGATCTGGAGCCTGAATCATATAACCCACATCTGTCTGCACTCTGTGTCCCTTGCCATGCCCCTATCTTGGTGCCACCTTACACCCACCTGCTGGGGTCCGAGGGACATTATTTCTGGAGTCCCCACACCCCACATACACAAACCCTGGACACTCCACATCCCAGCACCTCTCTCCATTTCCTTCCATCCCCGCCTTTGGGCCCAGCAGCCTTTTCCTGTCCCTACCACTGCTCACCAGTGTGCGTCCTCATGTGGCGCTTGAGATCGAAGGCATCATGAAAGCCCTTGCCACAACAGCGGCACAGGTGGCGGCGCACAGGACTGTGGCACTTGAGGTGCCGCGTCAGCATGCGCTGCAGAGGGAAGGCCTTAGGGCAGAGTGGGCAGCCCAGCATCCCTGGGCCCCTGGGAGCAGAGGTCAGGTTGCCCTGTGTGGGCTGCTGGAGGGATGTGGGAGTTATTAGCCCCTATGGTTGGACCCTGCCCACCCTTCGTTACTCTGCAAATGAGTACCGAGTGCCCAGAGCCATAGAGGATTTAGGAAGGCAGAGACAGTGATTAGTGTGTGTACCTGCCACTCTCCAGGGTCTTCCCTCAGTATCCCATGACCCTTCTCCATGTCAAGTCCCATCTTCCAATGTGACATGAACTTTTTTTTTTGAGAGTCTTTCTTTGTCACCCAGGCTGGAGGTCAGTGCTGTGATCTTGATCTCAGCTCACTGCAACCTCTGCCTCCCAGGTGCAAGTGATTCTTGTGCCTTATCCTCCCCAGTAGCTGGGATTACAGGCATAGACCACCATGCCCAGCTAATTTTTGTATTTGTCACAAAGATAGGGTTTCACCATGTTGGCCAGGCTGGTCTGTAACTCCTGACCTCAAGCAATCCACCCACCTTGGCCTTGTGAAGTGCTGGGATTACAGGCGTGAGCCTACTATGCCTGGCCTACTTTTCTAATTTTGTTGTCTTTTTTTTTTTTTGAAATGGAGTCTCACTGTGTTGCCCAGGCTGGAATGCAGTGGCACAATGTCGGCTCACCGCAACCCCTGTCTCCAGGTTCAGTTGATTCTCCTGCCTCAGCCTCATATGCTATCACACCTGGCTAAGTTTTGTATTTTTTTTTTTGGAACAGAGTCTCACTCTGTTGCCCGGGCTGGAGTGCAGTGGCACAATCTCAGTGCACTGCAGCCTCCGCCTCCCAGGTTCAAGAGATTCTCCTGCCTCAGCCTCCCAAGTAGCTGGGATTACAGGCATGTGCCACCATGCCTGGCAACTTTTTGTAATTTTAGTAGAGACCAAAATTACAACACGGCCAGGCTGGTCTCGAACTCCTGGCCCCAAGTGATCTGCCTGCCTTGGCCTCCCAAAGTGCTGGGATTACAGGTGTGAGCCACCACAACTGGCTAATTTTATTGTCTATACCTGCAGCCCCCACCAGAATACAGACTCCATCATTTGTGAATTTTTGTCTTATTCCTGCTGAATATAAAACCCCGTGTCTGGAATAGTGCCTGGCCCTCGTGAACATACGACATTCCAGCTGGTGCTTCCTTTCCTCTAATGCATGCACAGCTGAAATAGCCCTTATCTCCCATCACACTCTTGTCACCATCTCCCATATTCTGACATAAGGCAGATCATCCACATGAGGGGTTGAATCTTGTTCTGCCCTGCTGGACAGAGAGATCCCTGTGGCTGCCCACCCTGTTAGGTGCCTAGGCTGGGACCTAACAGTAGAGAGCTTACTACTAGGAAAGGAGAGCCATTCCCAGCAGAGAGAAGCAGAGGTGGACAGGTCCTGAGGCATGAGGGCTTATGCAGATGGGCCTGGGGAGGAAGAGGCCGTCAGCTTCATTAAGGCTGAGAGCAGGCAGGGGCGAAACAGCTGGCTTTGCGGGCCAGCTCCACACTCACCGCTGCCCACGGATCCCTGACACTGGATGACTGTTGCGCCGGTGGCCCCCCCAGGCTGCTGCAATCTGAGGAGAGAAGCCAAATGGTGATGCTTTGCGTCTCCCCTGCTCCTTACCTCCGGGCACGGTGAGGGACCCACCGGGGATATAGGCATCTCCCCGGAGCTGGTCAGGCAGGTGGCCCCAGTTGGGTGGCTGTGGACGCCGACTCCTGACCAGGAAGGCGCGGGGCATCCCCTCAGGAAGGCTCTCCACGCGCAGTGGCTGCCTCTTCTACCTGCTGTCAGACCTCAGCCCCGGGATGACTATCCCTGGTAGGAGAGGAGGGGAAGCCTCAGAGGAGCCTCATTCTCTTCATGCAAATTTCCTGATTGGCCCTGGGAGCGGACTAAGTTGGCTTGGGTTACCCCTGCCTGGGAACCTGCTGTCTTCTCCCAGGTTTCAGAGGGAACTGTCCAGCTTTCAGAGGTGAACAAGCACTGGGACCACCAAGCAGGGCCAGGAAAGGGGAGACCAGGCCTGGGGAGCTCTTGGGGATGGAGAGAGGAAGCATGGCCCCAGGGGGGCTGAGTGTCTCCCAGGGGTTGAGGGTCTGTTTGCCAGGCAAATCAGTCACCAGGGGACAACCAGCAGCCTGCCTGGTTATTCAAATCACAGCAGCTGTCTGAGGACACAGAAGGGGCCCCCTGCTGTGATTGCCCTGCTCTATAGAGTACAGGGAAGACACCAGATCCGGATAGATCAGGGCAAAATGAGGATCTAGGCTATGCATCCTCAGGCAGGACACCTCACCTCTCTGATCTTCAGACTCCCAGGGCTAACATTCAGCCAGAAGCACTATTCAGGTGTAGCAGGCACTCAAATTCTAGTTTGGTAATTACCTCTTAGTGACTGTGTGGGACAACACTCCCTCTCCTCACAGTCTGGAAAGTAAAAGGTGGGAATCTTTTTTTTTTTTTTTTTTGAAATGGAGTTTCGCTCTTGTAGCCCAGGCTGGAGTGCAGTGGTGAGATCTTGGCTCACTGGAACCTCCACCTCCCAGGTTCAAGCAGTTCTCCTGCCTCAGCCTCTCAAGTAGCTGGTACTACAGGCATGCACTACCCCACCACCACACCCAGCTAATTTTTGTATTTTTGGTAGAGATGGGGTTTCACCATGCTGGCCAGGCTGGTCTTGAACTCCTTACCTCAAGTGATCCACCCGCCTCTGCCTCCCAAAGTGCAGTGATTTCAGGTGTGAGCCACCTCGCCTGGCCCAAAGGGGGTCTCTTGACACAGCCAGGGGCTCCCAGGACCCTACCCTGGCACACTGGCCAAGCTCTGTTCTACACTTGATTGTTAGCCAAAAGGCCAAGAAGCAATTCAAGCTCTGTTTTTAAAATTTATTTTAATTAATTTATTTATTTTGAGGTGGAGTTTCACTCATTGACCAGGCTGGAGTGCAGTGGCACAATGTCGACTCACTGCAACCTCTGCCTCGTGGTTCAAGCGATTTTCCTGCCTCAGCCTCCCAAGTAGCTGGGATTACAGGCACGCACCACCACGCCCAGCTAATTTTTTGTATTTTTAGTAGAGACTGGGTTTCACCATGTTGGCTAGGCTGGTCTTGAACTCCTGACCTCAAGTGATCCATCCACCTCGGCCTCCTAAAGTGCTGGGATTACAGGCCTGAGCCGCCACAGCTGGCCAACTCAACAATTTTCTAGCTGGGCGCGGTGGCTCACGCCTGTAATCCCAGCACTTTGGGAGGCCGAGGCGGGTGGATCACAAGGTCAAGAGATCAAGACCATCCTGGTCAACATGGTGAAACCCCGTCTCTACTAAAAATACAAAAAATCAGCTGGGCATGGTGACG